GTGTGTGTGTGTGTGTGGGAGTTTCTGTGTATACACATAAATGGTTCTGCAGAAAGTCCCTTTCTGAAAATCAGTCATGGTGTGTGAAGAGCTGCGTGCGTCTAAGTCATCTCAGATTTCTGTACCTTAACACACACACACACACATTCATAAGGTTCAGTGTTGTTAAATTTGTCATAGAATAATCTGATAAAGTGTTCAGAGCTGTCGTTGTCACACCATAAACCAGCTTCTCATTGAGTTCAGACTTAAATACAAATGAAAAAGTTTAAAATAATCAGCTGCTTTGGAAAATAAATCTGTATTTTGGGTGAAAATCTGTGAAAACAAAAAGGAAAACAATAAGCCATCTTATAATTTTGACTTAATGTGAATATTTTTTTATTATGAAGGTTAAGTCTTACTTATGTCATTTTTTTTGGTCGAAATGACCTCGAATTTGATAAATAATTAATATTTTTTGATAAATAATTAATATCTTTTGATAAATAATTAATATTTTTTGATAAATTGTTTCTAAACTTTCACACTTTGTTTCTTGATGGTTTTGCTGCTTTATACAACGTTGTGTCCTATAAATGCTGTTAACTGTTAACACAAAATCTGTATTTTGGCGTGTAAATCTTTACGTGCAGCTCGGTGTCTCAGCTCTTGTCTTTACCTTCGTCACACAGGTTGAGTTTGGACAAGTTGCGTCCATCGTAGGCCTCTTCGTACATGGAGCCGCTCTCTCTCTCTTCATACGTACTCAGATACATGGCCTTGTTGTCCATCTCCTCCTGACTGAAGACAAAAGACACACAATCACATTTATTGTACATTACAAGACACATACACTGCCATCCAACCCAAAGCTTTTACAGATTACTACTGCCTATCATTAAGGTACAGGTGATAAATTAAGAGAGAAAGCTGAGTATAAGGTGGAGAAACAAATAGGGGATTTCCTACAGGTGCATGGTTTCGGTCCACCTGTCCCCTTAGACCCCACTGGAGTTGCACAAGGTTGAATGAATATGATGTATGTACGAAAAATAAACAAACTTTATGAAAATGAACTTTATTTTACAAAATTAAACTTTTTTTTAAATTAGTTTTGGTTACCCTATTAATGTTTTTGTATATATTTTAGGGGCGTTGTGACTTTATTGGATAGGACAGCTGAATGTGGACAGAGAGTCGGGATGACACAACGCAGCAAAGAGCCAAAGGTGGGATTCTAACCCACGATTGATGCAGAAAGGACTCAGCATCGGTATACGGGGCTACAGGGCGCCCCCTATCTTTATTAATGATGAAATTTGTTTTTTTTGGCTTCTGAAGGGTGGTATGCCAGAAAAAGGTGCAAATAAGTACAAAGTTCATCAGAGATATCACCTTTGTCGTATAATAATACATCAGTCCTGCTGGGAACAGCCTCTTCTCCCGACCCTCAGCTCATAACAATGACGTAAATCATGTGAAAACAACCAGATCTCACACCAACTAATCCTTTTGGAAGAACTTTATTTAATGACTCAGCACAGTTCCAGAGATTTGGAGCATCTAAGACCCATAAAAATGAGGGATTAAACCGTGTATAGAGGGTCCTCACAGGTATACTAGTTCAAATGAGTGTGTTTGTTTCCATTGGTGCCCTCTATGCTGTGAACCACACACACACACACACACACACACACCTGTAAGATAAAGAACGGTTCATATAAGTGGAGGCTGCATTAAACTGTGTGACTTCATCATTAGTGTCCAGTGACGCGTTCCTTTAAATCTACTGAAACAGACCGAAGTGGATCTCACAGGGACGGAACAACACACACTGTCATGGCTCTCATGGAAATCAAACCTTTCATTTCCAATTAGCTCAGTTCACGGTTTTATTTATTGGACTCACACACACACACACTCACACACACACACACACACACACACACTCACACACTCACACACTCTGACAGGTTGAGGCAGAAGCCAATGAAATCCTCTGTAATTACAACAGACATGTTCCACTTCCTGTTCTGATTGACAGAAGGAAGTTCCGCCTCACTAATCAATCCCTGCACGCAATCAGTCCACCTGTCAATCAATGGCTCAGCCACAGTGTGTGTGTGTGTGT